ATTGCATGGAATGTTTCTTGGATTTCTCCAGTTTTCTTGAAGAGATGCCTAGTCCTTCCCATTTTATTGTTTTCCTCTATTACTTTGCATTGTTCTTTCAGGAAATCCTCCTTATCTCTCCTTGCTGTTCTCAGGAAATCTGTACTCAGTTGGGTAAATCTTTCCTTTTCACCTTTGCCTTTCGTTTTGCTTCTTTCCTCTGCTATTTGTAAAGCCTCATCAGACAGCCACTTTGCTTTCTTGCATTTCTTTTTCTTTGGGATGGTGCTGATTGCTGCCTCTTGTACAACGTGACAAACCATAGTTCTTCAGGCACTCTGTCTATCAAATCTAGTCCCTTAAGCCTATTCTTCACCTCCACTTTATATTAATCAGTGATGTGATCTGAATGGCCTAGTGGTTTTCCCAACTTTCTTCAGTTTAAGCCTGAATTTTGCAATGAGTAGCTCATGATCTGAGCCGCAGTCAACTCCAGGTCTTGTTTTTACTGACTGTATAGAGTTTCTCCATCTTTGACTGCAAATGATATAATCAGTCTGATTCAGTGTTGTCCATCTGGTGATGTCCATGCGTAGAGTCACCTCTTAGGTTGTTGGAAGAGGGTGTTCGCTATGACCAGCATGTTCTCTTGACAAAACTCTGTTAGCCTTTGCCCAGCTTCATTTTGTTCTCCAAGGCCAAACTTGTCCATTATTCCAGTTACCCTTTGACTTCCTACTTTAGCATTCCAGTCCACTATGATGAAAAGGACATCTTTTTTTGGTATTGGTTCTAGGAGGTGTTATAAGTCTTCACAGAACCGGTCCACTTCAGCCTCTTCTGTGTCTGTGGTTGGGGCACAGTCTTGGATTACTCTGATGTTGAATGGTTTCCCTTGGATTCGGACTGAGATCATTCTGTCGTTTTCGAGATTGTATCCCATTACTACCTTTCTCACTCTCTGGTTGAGTATAAAGGCCACACCATTTTTTCTATGGGTTTTTGGTCTTCTGAGTTAAATTCACCAATTCCTGTCCACTTTAGTTCACCGATTCCCAAAATGTCAATGTTCAGTCTTGCCATCTCATTTTTGACCACATCCAACTTCCCTTGATCCACAGATCTTACATTCCAGGTTCCTACGCAGTATTGTTCTTTGTAGCATCGGACCTTCCTTTCACCATCAGACACATCCACAGCTGAGTGTCCTTTCGACTTTGGCCCAGCCGTTTCACTCTTTCTGGGGTTACTTGTACTTGCCCTCTGCTCTTCCCCAGTAGCATATTGGACACCTTCCGACCTGAGGGGCTCATCTTCCGGCGTCATATCTTGTAGCCTTTTGTTACTGACCATGGGTGGACAGTAACATAGCCACAGCATAGCCCGCAGCCTCATCAGATTGCTAAAGACACATCTTTGTTTTTCAATCAGCTACTGAAAAGACAAGTACATACAAAACTGAATGCACCATTACATCTGGTTGGCAGCCAAATTCTGAGCTTGGCAGTTTCTGGAATATTTTGATTCCTGCAAGGAAGACAACAGTACCTTTAGTCAGAAAACCAAGTTTCACCATGGTAACACAGAATTTTAGAACTATTTTCAGTCAATAATCCTATGTGACTAGCTGGACTACTGATCTTCCAGTGTGAAAAGTACTGAGACTTACTAGTGATTTCAGCTCTCATACTTTATTTCCAGTGTAGAACAAAGACAAAGTAACCGGCTCGCAGGCTGGTTTATAAAGGCATACAACCCACACCCCAAACACACCCCTACACCAGTGATAGGTATTTACAGTGGCCGAGAGTTCCATAGACTCTCAGCCGGGAGCCTAGCCCACTGATTGGTGTGGGCTAGGATCCGCTTGGCCCATTGTTCCTGGGAGTGAAGCTCGGTCGCTTCGCATGACCGCGTGGAGACCAAGCCTCGCACGCGGTTGGAGATGGATACATTACACCATGCAAGGCTCTTTCATACCAGAGTGATTTTCCATGGAGGTCAGGTTTCTGTTGTGCTTGTGTGTGAAAGTGAAACTGCAACAGAGATTCCAGACAGCATAGGCTAATCTATATTGTCTTCATTGTTAGCGTGGGTCCCCCATCCTGTATTCTCATGCAGCCATCAGGATTTTCCATCCAGGAACCCATCCTATTTTAATTTTGAGGAGAATGGATAGGACAGCATAGAAATAGAGTAATACTAAAACCTTTAAAAATGTGTGTGGCAGGCTGAGGTGTGTGTGATCGTCTTCAGTAACGGAACGGCCCCTTGCATTCATCAGCAATGAAGACGGCAGATGGACAGAGGGTGTGCCACTATATAGATTCTCCTGGACCTCTCAGTAGCTTTTGATACCATCCACTATGGCAGGGGTGGCCAAACTAGCTTAATGTAAGCGCCACATAGAATAAACATCAGATGTTCGAGAGCCACAAGACATGAACAAATATTACACGTTCTTACTGGGAAATATGCAAATTTGCTTTTTATTAACATTAGATGAGACTGCCAAAAATAATAACAAAAGTGGTAAAAGCAGATATTGATAATGATATTTATTTGTCCGATGATACTTGTTTGCTAATGATATTTAGCTTCCCCAGCCGCCCTGCCGGGAGCCGCACAATATGTGTGAAAGAGCCGCATGCAACTCCCAAGTCACAGTCTGGCCACCCCTGCACTATGGTATACTTCTGGAGAACCTTTCTGGGCTAAGGGGCACCATTCTACAGTGGTTCTGGTCCTACCTGGAGAGGAGCAGAGGTTTCAGAAGGTGGTGCTGGGAAAGTGCTGCTCAGCCCCTTGGTCTTTGGCCAATGGAGTCCTGCAAGGTTCCATGTTGTCCCCTATTCTCTTCATCTACATGAAACAGCTGGGTAAGGTCATCTGAAGATTTGGGTTGTCATCACCAATATTTAGATGCCATTGAGTTCTGTCGCATACTCCAGCTGATCCTAGGGAAGCTATAGAAACCCTGAGCTGGTACCTGAAGGCAGTTTTGGAGTGGATGTGGATTAATAAATTGAAGTTTAATCCTGACAAGATCGAAGTGCTACCAGTAAATGGAAGGTCTGAACTAGGACTTAAGGTATCACCCGTTCTGGCTGGGGTTGCCCTTTTATTTATGGTATTGCACTTTTCTGTAGAATCCCTCCCTACAGGACAAATCATGAAGGATCAGCAGAGATAATCCCACAGGTTTCACAGGGAGTCAAAATAGTGGTATTGTTCTGCTGGAACACTGCTACATCATTGGTCTGATCTGCTTCCCCCTCCCAATACTGGAGCCATCAAAGCCAGTCCAGGGGACAAGGTGGATTTCCCACAACTACAGTGAAATTCACCAACAAAATGCAGAGGTAAGAAGGGAGAAGTTTCCTTTCATTCAAATACAAGGTGTAGTTTCCTGTTCAGATACAAGGAACTACTTATGCTGACAGTGTCCTGCTGGGGAAACAACAGGGATTTTGTTCAAGTTTAAAATAATTTTAAAATATTTTATTTGACAAAGAAATGGGTTGTGTTCACAATTTGTGTACAGGTGCCAGACAGAATGGGTTGTGTTCACAATTTGTGTACAGTGGCATCACATGGAAATAGGGAAAAAACCTGGCTGAAATGGAAAAAATAATCCATGTGAGAGCAGCCCAAGAAGTATTTAGGATACTTTCTGGTCATCTCTGTTACATCTCTGTTACAGAGTTGATAGTTAATACACAGCTAACTGAGCATCTGTGGACATTCACATGCATTAACAACGCTGGGGATAGCAGACAGATTTAGGGCAAGTGAGTTACCATCCAGACAAGGTCAAATACACATCAGACATGCCTGCAAAAGAACCTTGACCTGCAATCAAATCTAGTGCACACAAACTACTTAAAACAACTCAACTGATTCATCATGCCCAGTATCCACAAGCTCAGCAAGAACTGCCTTGATAACATGTAGTCAAAACAGCAACAAAAATCTGGCAGGAAAGGCACAGAATGAAGATGGCTGTGGAACAAAAACAAATTATGCCTTTAAGAAAGAACAGCCCTGTTGAATCAGATCACTGGTCGACTGCAGCAGCATCCTGATTCATGCAGCAGCCAACCAGTTGCCCTGGAGAACCAACAAACAAACCTCCACTGCCACCACCCGCTTTAAGACTAGAGCACTAAAACAGCCCTGGCAGAAACTGCTGCCAGTTTTATTCTGCTACATATCTCCTGTGTGTGTGTGTTTAAAAAATAATGTGGTGACTGTCATTCTGTCATGCTTGTGGCTCATTTCTTAGTTGTAGATCTCCGATGAAATCAGGGTTGCCAGGCTACCCTGCCTTTAATAAGTGCATGATGGGGGAGGGGGAGAGAAATACAACAATTAATACCTTTGCTGCAGTTTTGGAACTGGCAATTTAAAACGAAACCCGCTTAAACATCTTTGAATCAAGGTGATGTGGAACGCTATGCAATTATTGGCTAACTCTAAATCGTCTGACACACACAAATGAATAGACAAACGGACAGAAATAGCAGTCTTATTTGGGGAGGGGAGATCGATACAACAAACACCAATGCATAGATGTGCCTGTTGAATTTGTCATGTTGTGCCTCCCTGCCATATTTTGGAATCAGAAATTTAGAAAGACTATTATTAATGCGATTTTTGCATAGAAGCAGGATTAGCGAGTAGAACTCACGGAGTTAACGTGAAGAACAAACACTTAGACACCACATTAAGTTCACACACCCGCAAAAATACCCTGGGTTCTGACGCATTTCCGCTGTATAACCCGTACGGAGGAATTAGATTATTTTCCGGTCCCCCCATGGCATCTTGCTCGGAAGCGTGTTCCCTTTTTTCTGTTCTCCTATGATGCCAAGTGTGCTCTAATTATCTTTCCCCCTTTAGGAAAGACGTCGGAAGCGGTGCTCTTGTTAATTTGTCCGCTGGAGCACCAACTTTGATGCCGAGGAGGATGGAACCGACGTGGCTGAGTTGGGGAGGTGGAGCTAAGATTGAAGGGGTGGGAAGAATCCCGAGCGGAGACGCAGCTGGATGGCAGGGGCAGCCCGGAGCTCCCCAGTGTCGCATGGTAACGAACGAGCCTCTCCGGGGGGAAGGGGAAGGGGGGGCTTCAAGGTTGGCACTGGGAAGAGGCAAAGCTCTCCCTCCAACTTGGGGGCTGAGGGACATCAGGCCGGTACCGAGAGTTGCTTTGGGGCACACCGCGGCCGGTGCCTGAGCAGGGCAAGGTGAGTGCAGAAGAAGGTGCGAGTGGAGTTTTGTGCTGGGGTAGCCAAAGCACACACCGGCAGTGAGGGGCTGCTGGGGCACCTTATCGTATCGAGCAACCCGATTAGGATGCCGGAGGTTAGGCAGACTCTTTCCACTTTAATCGCTCGTGAGTGTTGCATTTAACTTTTTTATCTCCACTCCGCATAGATTGTACCCTGATCCTCCCCCCCCCATTTCTGTCAAAGATTTTGTGACAATGAGAGTCGCACACTCTATATGGTATTTTGAATCCAGAGATTTCTGTTTCCTACAAGTAGCTGGTAGGATGAATTGGGTACTCTTCTCTTCCAAGGGAGAATGGCCGCTAGTCCCCAGACGATGTCCTTATAGTTTAAATTACAAACGGAAAATAGTGTAAAGCCATAAGACAGTCAGAACTGACTTGTACCACACACCTGTCATGTTGGTGCTCTCAGGTATTCGTGGCATGCATCCATGCATCCACTTTCCCAGCCTGAATGTTTACTTGCTCCTTTGTTTTTGGGTGACCAAGGCAGCCATAGGGTGGGATGCAAATCGAGCAGCAGTCAGAGATTAATTAATTACTGTACTGCCCAATTTGATGTAAGTATGTTCAGAGGGGTTTACTCCCATGTAAGCATATGTAGGATTGCAGCCTTGTTGCTCTGTTTTGCAGTAGTGATGTTTTTAACAGTCATCTGGTCCAAGCAAGCTCTAGTGGGCTGCTTAGGTAAATTTATGGAAGAGAATAATATCAGAGGTACAGAAATGGCTTGGCACCTGGATGCAGTTCAGCTTCAAGATCAACTTCAAATGTACTTCATGTGAAGGCTGTTTCATCTGTACTGCCTGTCCAAATGTAGGTTCCTGTACTAAGCCAAAAGGGTCTGACTAAGGTAGCTAACATGTTAACATTGCAGGGACATTCTTTCTCCATGTCCTTGTAAACTGTAGTCTCAACCAATGTAAATGTGAGTAAATGAAGCATGTAGTATTTTGTTTATTTGTTATATGAGGAAGGCTGTTACTGGTAAGGTGTTCTGGAGGTCATCGTTCATTGGGTTGCCACAAGTCAGAAGTGATTTGATGGCATGTAACACATACCTGGTTTCAAGTAAACTCTCCACAAGAAAATACTTTGGTAAGATTTTTAGAAATGCAAACTAGAATTAAATCTGCAAAATTGGGGCATTCTGCTAAAAGGTCTGGGATACTCTTGTTCCTCCAGATAACACTGACTTATGGATAATTGGTAATATGGTAACTTGATCTTCTGTCCACCAAAAGCAGGGCTGTTCCACTTGCCACATAGTACTCTAAGAAGTGGCACATGACCATGGCAGGTGGTGTGTTGACTCAATACCCTGCTTCTGGTTCAGGGTGACAGCAGCTCTGTGTAAATGTTACCAAGTCTCTGAAGGTCTGCTGGAGAGTTTGGGCTTGAATAAAGAACCATTGGGTAGAAGGATGGTTTACAATATGATCCCTATTTTGGATCAATAATAGATCTAACCTTGCCTGCAGACTGAGGTAGACTGGCTGGGTGAGAGCAAGAAGAAAATTTTCCTCTGTAGAATAGAGCAGCAGGTCAGAGAGAGATTTTTCTCTTCCTGAAGAGATTGCTGGATGTGGGTTTGAGAAATCATCCTTTCTCAAACAGCATTATTCTTCACTAAAGTGAGCTTGTGGCGGATTCCTCCATCTGCTGAAAACTTCCATATTAATAAGAACTAAAAAAATTGTAGGACACTTCTTCTGTGATCTGGCTGTATGCATGCCATGATTCTGTGGAAGTGAAGAAATTAGACATGGATACAGAACTGAGGATTAGAATCTCAGCTTTGATTCTTTTTTCAGAAGCAAGTTTCTAGGCTTTAAGGAGGCAAGAAGGCGATTCAGAGCATGTGGGCAATGCCTGCTGAAGTCTCAGAAGTCAGATGATTGGGAACAAAGCTGCTGTGTTTTATGTAGCTTTTTGCTTCTTCCCAGGACAAACAAGGCCAGAATAAGATGCAGAGAGCAGTAAAGATGGCATAATAATAGATTTTACTCTTTTTTTGCTGAGTACACACCATCCACCTGATGGTGGCCTGTGCTTCTGTTATAAGTATAGGGAAAAGTTCTCCCCCATGGATTCACTGTGTGGTCCAGTTCTTTTGATCCTGTTGTCACCTTTATAATGGGAACAGACACCTGCTGTACAATCCAGTTCTATGCAAGGGCCGTAGTGTTTTGCAAATCCAAGAGTAATTTAGATTCATCACAGTCATGTTTATACTGAAGGAAGGCTGGGTTTGACAAGATAGCCTGTCTCTTTGGGACAGAAGTTGTGAAATACTTAATACTTAAGCTTTCTTCAGTTCTGTTTTTAGATTTCTGGTTGGTCCTACAACCGTAATCCTATTGCACTATTTATTGAATGTCCCATCCATCAATTGTTTGGGCTCACTCCGTGTAATCTGCCTTGAGTCCAAATGAGGAAGGTATAGATGACATAAATAAATAAATAGTTTTGAGAAGACTTCTGAGAATGGGAGAACCTGGAGAGATACTGCAGGTCTCACAGTGGAGCTGCTACTGTGACTGGGAGTATGAGGCCTGTAGCTGTTGGCAGAAGGTCAGGATTTCCAGTAGGAATCCAGGCACTTAACTGCTGAACTCGGGAAATGGCTTTGGAGAAGAGTTTTGTTGTTACTATTTCCATTTCCATTGTGTGTGGGGGATAAAATTACATTTTATCTCTGCTCCTCTGAATAATTAGAGATGAGTGTCAAACTTGCAATGGAATATGTCCCTATTGTGTTATTTAAAGAGTGGCATGGATCTAGGGTACGAGACTGGAAAAATATGTTGCAGCTGTGTGATTGGAAAGAGCAATGCTGCCGGCTGTCATGGGGAGGAGGCAGGAGCAGAAGAAAATCTGACTGCATCACATAGAGCTTGGATTGTATTGGCTGGTGGGGAAACTGAGCTGTATTTTCCAGGTGCATTGGAAGTCACTTCTAAAGGGGCCTGGAAATTTCTTGTAGCGGAAACCCAGTGGCTTCAGAAATGTCCCCATGCAAGCACTTTTATTCTGTTTCTTCTTTCCTTCTTGCTTCCTCTTTTGCATTTGCTACAAGTTTATATTTCAAGCTGTGTTTGCCATAGAGGATAGAGCAGAGATGGATCTCTTTACTCAGGAGACCTATCATGGTGTTAATTATTCCCTGCCCTGCTACCATCGCACTAGCTGAGTCTCTGTGGCTTTCCTTTTGTCCTCATTTTTTCTTTTCTTTCGGCATCATGTTCTTTGCTCAGCTGGAAAAAGCTGCCTGGTGCTCCTGCCTCTTTTGCAGGAGCTCTTTGCAGTTTGGATAAAATAATGCCTCCAGGGAACACAGCTGTTCTCTGACAAGCAGCCTCTGCTCAGCTCTGAGTCATTTCTGCCTCTGCTGCTCCAGTGTGGAATGTGCTGTGAGTCAGACTTTTTCTGTAGGTCATGACCTCTAAATTGGTCTCTGGGAATTATGAAAGGGTCACGACTGCACATGGTTTTTGAGCTTGAGATGTTTCACTGGGATTGTTTCAGATTCTTGCTAGAACTGGGTTTAAGTACAGGAGATTTCTTAGGGTCAGGTCATGTGTGTGTGGTTCATGCCGGAATACGTGAGTGCTCTTAAAAAGAGTTGTGTTGGACTTGTGCAGTGCTAAGCAAGTTCTGTCTTTTGTGTCTGATCTTCATGCACACTGGACATGTGTGTATGTGTAAACTGGTCGTAAGCTGTAACTAAAGATCTAGCGAATTTGTGACAATTATAATAGCTAGGCCACTGAAACTGTCAAACGTTTCCTGCCAATTTACTGTCTTTTGTGACTGTTAGCAGGAGTATGGAGATTCACTGAGGGATATTGGAGACAGATGCAGCAGATTTTTGTATACATTGTAGCTGGAGTGGGGATTGTTCAGACCTGTTACGATGGGTTTTCCATGGCCGGTGTGTGCCCTGGCCTTTGGATCTTAATAATTATGTAGTGGCAATCTAATGCGTTTTTCACCCTTCCAGGTCAAGACCATAAGAACTGTTTGGCTGTCATAGTCCAGAGCTTTGTCCAGTCCAGCATTCTGTCTGCAAGAGAGACCAGCCAGATGTTTTCGGGAAACTCACAAGCACAAAAGCCTTCTCTTGTTTGTCAGTAGCCTTTGGTAAGCTGCGGTCTGTCAGTGAATGTAAAAATTCCTTTTTCAGCTGTTATGACAAGTAGCCATTGATATAGACCTGTCCACCATTGGTTTGTTACAACCTTTAAAAAGCCATTGTTCTGCAGGATACATCTGTCAAAGGCCACAGGACATAATGGTTAAAAACAGTATTGGCTTTTTCCATTTTGCTGTTGAACCAGAAGAGGGGGGAAAGGGCCTCATGAGTTTGGGGAAAATGGTACATCAACATCACTTATTGAAGTCTGCAGTGTACATTGTTCACATTGGCTTAATTTAGCTTTCACACATACATGGTGCAATGGGACCTCTATGCTGCTGTATGGCTTGCAGAAATCACACTAACTGATTGAACACATACAGTGGAAGCCCCCATGATGGCCCCGTCCCCTCCCTCAGAGGCAAGATTTTCCCTCTGTTTTTCTTTCCCTTTACTGACTGAGCTGCCCTAGTAATGCATTTTCTCCTTTGCTGAAGTACTTTGGCTGTCCCACCCTGTCACTGTATGATATTTTGGCTGTTGACTCAACCCAGGAACCTGAGGGAAGGATTAGGAGCCCACTTTAACTTAAACCACTTAAATGGCAGTCAAGGCATTTTGAAAGTCAAAAAAATGACAAAATATTTTATTTAACATAGAGGGGAAAGGCCAGGTGAAATCAGGGGTTGAAATTTCTGAGGTAAAACCAGTACATGCACAGACTTTAGTGCTTATGTTTCAGGCTAATGAGAGTTTCTTAATCTTTTCTCAGTAACTTAAATCTTTATGTTGAGAGGCTTTTGTTCTGGTGTTTTCCTAAAAACCCTAGTACACTTTCTTTGAGTATTGTCTGACTCTTTTAGTTTCTGGAAGGCTGGTAGACTCTTTCTGCTACCCAAACCCCTTCTCTTGAAACACCAGTACACATCTTGAGTTTTTAACTGACTCTTAAGGTCTCCAAAGGCAGTTTCTAACCACATCAGACCAGGGATCTCTGCACCCTTCAGAGCTAACTCCCTGTTTGACTGGTGTTAGCCAAATTGCCTTAATTTATTAATAAATGTGGGGAATTATGAGTATTAAATGGCAATAGGTATTAAATATAGGATCAGAACCTGTGTTTATGGGAATTTGATTTCCCAGTCCCAGAAACAGAGGCTAGATTACTAAAGCAGTGATTTCTTTACTAAGGATTCTTAAACATACAAACATAAAATCAAGCATTCACACACACAAAACAGAACTAAGAAAGCAGAGGTGATTGATAGCTAAGAGAGGGATCAGTTATGGGGTGATATGACCTGTCCAGACATGCAGAGGTCCATGAAGAAGGGATTATGGCCTAAACCCAGATATTTAGGGGTGGACTCTCAGTTGGCTTCAGGGCAGAGGCACACAGTCTGCTATGTGCTCTGACAGATATCTCTCCTTATATATAATTGAATAGTGGGTGCCAAAGTTCTAAAATGCACTCCTTTAGTGTATGGACGCTTGAACTGTATGTCAGAAGACGCTGGCTGGGTTGACTGGCTGCTTTGTGCAGTCCCGCCCAGTGTTTCAAGGTCTTTTGCATATGGAAGCTGATTGGACCTCACTGCATTCCACACCTCAAACTCACCCCCCTCCCCGCAAGGCAGTTGGAATGTCAGTTGCATATGGAACCTTCAAGGTCTTTTGCATATGGAAGCTGATTGGACTTCACTCCATTCCACACCTCATACTCCCCCCCCCCGCAAGGCAGTTGGAATGTCTGGTGGTGTGTAGGTCCCAGGATCATGTTTTAAAAGCTGCCTGGGGAGATGGGGACCTCAGACAGGTTACAGTGCCATAGACTTCACCCTCCAACCCAGCTATTTGCTCCTGGGGAACTATTGTTGCCAATCTTGGCCCAGCACCCATCAAACCATTCTCTTCAACCCCCTGCTGTGCAGCACACTTTCCCCTAGGGTTGCCAAACTCCAGGTGGGACCTGGAGATCTCCCACTGCTACAATTGATTTCCAGATGACAGAGATCAGTTTCCCCTGGAGAAAATGGCTGCTTTGGAGGGTAGACCCTATGACATTATACCTGCTGAGTCCTTCCGCCCCCCCACCCCGCCCAATGCTGCCCACTACAGAATCCACCCCCCAAAACTCCAGGTATTTCCCTCCTTAGAGCTGGCAACCCTACATTCCCCTCAATGCCTGTTGGTAGGCAACTAAGCTTGGTCCTGTCACCTACTTTGGCCTTTGGGAGAAAACACATTGGGGCCAGTCCTGATAGGGTTGCCAACTCCAGATGGGAAATTCCTGGAGATTTGAGGGATGGAGCCTGAAGAGGGTGAGGTTTGAGGAGGGGTGGGACCTCAGACAGGTACACTGCCATAGACTCCACCCTCCAAACCAGTCAGTCCCACATAGGGAACCATTGTTGCCAATCTCCAGGTGAGGGCTGGAGAGCACTCAGAATTACAACTGCTCTGCAGAAGGGAGGGCAGAAGTCAGCTGAAGTCAAAGGGGCAGATAATGGTAGGTTGATGGTTAGCTGGGAAGGAGATGGGGTTGCTAGTAGACATTATAAAACAATGCAGACCAATGGGCAGACCTGGGGGCTGGTCTCAGGTGAGAACAATATTACCTGAGCCAATGATGAGTCCCATGGGTGTGTGGCATCAGGATGGGCAAGGCCTAGATGTGACCAATGAGCTTCCAGAGGGGCAGAGTCAGGCTTTAAAAATAGAAGCCAGCTGTTGGATGACTGTACTGGGGCTAGCTGAATGGATTTTATGTCCATTGATGGTTCTGCCAAGGCAGTTGAATAGGTTCCAAGATACAGACAAAAGATGGGAGATGGGTCCCTGATTAGTGTCAGGAAGGATCGTTAATAATTTGAATGTTTGATTGGTTTATCTCGGAATCCTGAAGGATGGAGCAAGGAAGGACAAAGAATTCACACATAGACATGGGACTGCACAAAAGGGCTGGGTGAAGTACTGGAGACAGGGCTATTTGCCAGGTGGCTTCTGAATAGCCTTTAGAAATGTAGATGTTTTACCTGTTGGAACGGACGTATCATATGCATATCTTCCTGGGTGGGGGAAAAGACTGGAGGTTTCCTCTGAGGGTGCCTTGTTGTCACCTGAAAATGGAGACCCTATTTCCAGAACTATGACTTGCTCTGTGTTTTCAGGTCTTCCTTGGCCTGAGATTTGTGTGTCTCTGGTTCAGGTTAGAAAGCGGGGTGCCCCTGCTGTTGTGTTAAACTGCTCTCAGTTAAGGCTGAAATCAGACTCCATCCTCTTCAGCATCCAGTTCAGAAGTTTTTCTCTGCTCCACTGATGCTAACCAAGCAGATCTCTTGAAGCAGCCTATCACTCAAGGCTCTCTAGCTCTGTGAAGCATTAACCCTTCACAGTCCTTTATCTGTTTAACACAGCACTTCTACGCTTTTAAAAAGTTCAGTTCCATGCTGCTGTTCAAATATGGGTCTTTGAATACTGAAGTCTGTAATTACAATCATAAAAAAGTTCAGTTCATCACACACACACACACACCTCTTACAGGTTCTCATCAGAAGGGTCTGAAGCTGTTTGAGAGAGTGTGGTCTAATGGTTAGAATACTGGAGCAATTGGACAGTGCCAATAATTCTGGTTTTAAAAGGCCAGTTTGGTTTGGGGAATAGCTCTCCAATGACATATCCATCATACCCAGCCAGAAACGACAGCACACAAAAGGTGAAACTTCTGTGATGACCCCTTGTATGACTGCCACCTCGATTCACAACAAGCAGCCTTGATTATGCTAGCAAATGTTGTAGAAGGTTCAAATGGCATTTGCTCTCTTAGTGGATAACCTGTTTCGTAGGTAGGTAGAAGTATTGATTGCTTCTCCTCAGTAATTGTCAGGTAGCTCTGCCTCAAGAAGCATACATTGGGACATCTCACTGAGAGAGTGGTTCTTTGTTTCTGCCACACCATTGTTTTCTGGGGTGTACAGGACTGTAAGATGGTGGTCTGTGCCTTGTTCTGTCAAGTAATTTGTCATTTCATGTCCCATGTATTCCCCACCATTATCAGTCTAGATTACTAGTGGCTTTCTTTTGAATCAGTTACTGACTATTGCCACAGATGCATTAAAATTTTCCAATACTCTACTTTTCTCTTTATTTAGATTTGAGTAGTCATCAATAAATGTTAGCACATATTAATTTCCACTGAATGTTTGGCTTTTCATGGGTCCACACATATCACTGTGTATTAGCTCTAGGGGGCACTGCGTTTGACTTGTGCAATGCTTGTTAAAGCTTGATCTAGTTCCCTTCGCTTTGATGCAGCATACACACTTCTCTGCATCAGCACATTTGGTCATTAGTATGCCTTTTGTTAAGTTCTTGCTTTCAAGGTGGCTTCTTATATATTTATATTTTTTTCTATGATCCAATCTCCTATGCCACAACCTGGAACAATTCTAGTTATTACAGTGCTTTATAAAGTTTACTTATTCTCTGTGATACTCAAGTTGTACAAATCCTCACTCACATCACCTGTTGCAATTAAGTCAGTCTTGTCTCTGATAAAAGCAACCTTTGGAGATAGGTGTTTTATTCCTTTATTTGCCATTGCTATCAGAGAGATAAGATTATTCTCTAGTCTTGGAACAGACAAACAATTTGCAACAAGGACTTCTCGGATTTCACCATTTGGAAGCTTGCAGTACAGTGTCCCAGAGTCTATGCCTTCAGCCCAGAGGATTTCTCCATCTTCTATATGTAATTTCTCTTTCTTTATCTAATGTTTTTTAAAAATTATAATTGCCTATGCATGAAGTAGCACCAGAGCTGATGTACCAAGTGGTGCTTTTGTGCTACTTTGAGATAATATCAAGCTTTTCTTTGTTGGCTGTTCATTTATTTTAAGTGGAGCCTTTCTGCTTCCCTCTTGCTTTTGGCTTCCTATCTTAGCTCAGGAAGGAGGGCTCCAGAGCGAACTAATTTATGCAGTAGCCAAACCACTCACTCACAACTTTAGTGCCAGTAGCTCACAAAGCAGAATTTTTGCTCACAAGACTCCACAGCTTAGAGGGAACGTTGGTAGGGAGTCTGCAAAAATAAAATGAAAGGCAGGACCATGTAAAGAAGAAGAAGAGATTGGATTTATACCCCGTCCTTCACTACCAAAAGGTGTCTCAGAGCGGCTTACAGACTCCTTTTCCTTCCCTTCCCCACAACAGACACCCTGTGAGGTAGGTGGGGCTGAGAGAGCTCTTGACAGAAACTGCTCTTTTTCACTTGATATATCCTGGTTTGCCACAAGAATATTAAATTAACTTGCCTTTTTTATATTTAAAGCCCATTGACTGGACTTCGATCTCTTATGCTGCCTTCAAGTCTCTTCCTCTAGCTGACCGATCATTCCTTTCAGGGACAGAAAATTCTTCAGCTTCTGTTGCATGGATAACATTTTCATTTGATTCTGGCAAACAATCATATCCTGATCTGGAACTTCCTTCCCTGCAGCTCTCAGTTGTTGAGCTAGATTCAGCAGCTCATCCAAGTGATTTCTCAAGTTCATTTTTAAATTGAAAAAACGTTCTAAAGATACATCTGACACTTTAGAGAGGATTTGATATGTAACCTTTGTAATTCCTCCCACATCTCTTGGGTAGTTCCCATATCATAGCTGACAATCTGTAAGATCCTATACGACGATGGCCAATGTTGCCTTACTGTTTGAAGAGTCCCAAGCTGCTTGCCTTTCAGTCTAACGTCCCATAGATCGAGAGTCCCAAGCTGCTTGCCTTTCAGTCTGAGTAACGTCCCATAGGTATCTCTGGATTAAATGGGTCTTCATTCTTTATCTCCAAATTAGAGAGCGTTCTCTGTCCAGTGGCCATGCTGTGCTCCAAAGGGAGCTGCCACCTTTGATCCTTTGTCTCCCTGCTCCTGCCTTGCACGCATTTGAGAGCCTCTGGTGATTTTTTTTTACCTTTAATCAGATGCACCTGTCTTGGGCCCATAACCCTGTTGGCCGAGTGATGACACAGCAGAGCTGCACAAACTGATTAAAATATAGAGAGAGCGTTATGTAGGAACTAACATACTTGTAGTAAAGAGCAGTAATAGAGACAGGTTCCTAGCTACATCACAGTGAGAGAGAGTTATGAGTTGTGGAACTTCTGAGGAGGAGGAGGAGGAGGAGGATATTGCCCTAAGAGTAGCAGTCTGGTGACAGACAAGGAACAACACTTACCAGGACAGAAGGTGCTGCCCACACTATCCTATCTAACTGGCCTTTCCTCTTGCTGCCCCTTGCAAGTTTTTTCCCCTCATCTTTTGTGCACCAGATGTTGTTTACTCCAACAAAAGTGGCATTGAATAGTGCAGAGGCCCCCAGCCTTTTTGAGCCTATGAACACCTTCGGAATTCTGACACAGTGGAGTGGGCGTAACCACAAAATGGCTGCCATAGGAGGCGGAGCCACATACACTGGGGATTCCCACGTGCAGGAGGAGAAGAGGAGCAATTAAAAAAATACACTGGGACAGCAGGGTAAGAGAGAATAAAACAAACACTGTGGTGGTAGCTGCCACTGAAACAATATCATTTTAATCTGCACAGCCAATCAGAAGCCCTGCTGGGCAAGAGCCCCACCTGGCCCCACCCACTTTCTAAAACTACTTGATGGGCACCAGAAAAGGTGCTGGGGGGGCGTGGGAGCCACAGGTACCACGTTGGGGACCACTGGAAAATATATCCCAACTTCTGTAAAAAGGAACAATTACTTTTTGACCTTAATTTAATAGTGTCAGATCTGTCATGCTAGGGCTCATGGACATTTTGGGGTGATGAGGCTAGGAAAGTCTTTCAGGTGTCCAAAGGCTCTTTGTCATTTGCTTGACAGAAAAAAAAAATCTGGAATGGTATTTGTGTTAGACATTTGTTGTTCTCAGTTTAATGTGTCTTTAAACAGCACTTTAGTTTTATCACCATCTAATGAATGTTTTATATGGATTGTTTGTGTTTTTAACTGATGCTTGTACTTATGTTTTATTGTTTTTGAATGCTGCTTGTCAGTTTTGGAAGCCGCCCTGAGCCCGCTTGTGGGGAGGGCGGGGTAAAAGTGGAATGAATAAAATAAATATAAATATAAATATTATCACGAAAGTATTTAAAATCTATAGAGATTTTTGTATATTAATTATGTTGGTTTGCCAGTTCATGCTCTGATGGGATCACTTTTGTTGGCTTGGGTTTTCTGCCCCTTAGCACACAGCACACCTGTCTCTTGGATTACTGGGCCTTCTGACCTCACTTTATAGTACCCGTCTCCTTCCATTGGTACTGATGTTCCCTCTAAGCTGTGGAGTCTTGTGAGCAAAAATTCTACTTTGTGAGCTACTGGCATTAAAGTTGTGAGCGAGCAATTTGGCTGCTGCATAAATTAGTTTGCACTGGAGCCATCCTTCCTGAGCGAAGACAGAAATGTGTGAGCCAGAGGCTAAAAAACTGTGAACTAGCTCACACTAACTCAGCTTAGAGGGAACACTGGTTGGTACCTGTATATATTTCTGCCAACTGAGTGCTCTTTTCCTCCTTCATTTCAGGGATCAACCAGCCAGGCTGAAGCTGCCCAAGATGATGGGGGAAATACTGTTTTTTCATGGACCACTCTCTTTCTTGCTGCTCTCCTATGCTTGCCAAGCTGTTGGTGGGGCCAGTCCCCTGTGTGAAAAAGAGGTTGAGTCCTGGGGGGCCATATTTTCTGGGGAACGCCTGGATGCCTGGGTCTGTTCTCTGATTGGTTCGGTTATGGTTGGGCTGAGTGGTGTCCTTCCTTTGGTGATCATTCCTCTTGAGTCCGGAGCAGCTCTGAAGTCAGAAGGTAAGTTGACCTGACTCTTAGAACTGTATTCTTAACAATCCCTCAACCTCTCAGTCATTGAGGGGGCATGTAGTTTGAATGCAAAAGCAGAGATTCTACTTGAGGCCAGGAAAAGTTGCCTGCTGAAATGCCTGCATAATTCACTCAGTCCTGCTATTAAGCAAGGTAAGAAGAACCGTACCTAAATATGTGGACTCTGTTGTAAGGTGTTTGTTCCAATGAACATTGGAAAAGAGTAGCTTGGCACCCCTCCCCAGCAAGTACTTTCTGACGAGCCCAAATTTTACACACTGAGAACTGGAACGTTTGTGGCCTGCATAAATGATGCACATTCAGCAAGTTTTGCATAATTAGGACTTGGGGGGGGGGAAGGTGCCAGAACTCTTGAGGGAAATGAAGTTTTCAATCTGTATACTGAAAACTCGTGAACTTTTAAACATTTTTAAAAGAATGTTGTCGAAGAGGTTCCAGAACTGTTTCAGCGTGTTCCCCCAGAAAAAAGCCCCGTATTATATTTGCATTGCAAATGTTGCATAAATATATTTGTATATAGTGCTTTGCATGATTTACTTTTTATTGTTCAGAGGATTGGATAAGGAGTCAGGCAGAACAACAAAACCTTGCTTTCTAAAATTTGTAAAACCCCCCCCCCCCCCATGGACTTTGTGACGAGATAAAACCAGCACACTTTCAAGCCTTCTTTATAGCCATAAGGACTAGAAACTTGCTCTTTAAAATAGAAAAGAAAGTAGCCAACATCAGATGCTGGGCTTAGAAGAGTATAATGTCACAAACCCACAGCCCTCCCTGCTCCCCCAGAAACAGTTGTCAGGTGCCCCTAGTCAGTCTGCAGAGGCCACTGTGAAGGTAGTGCAACTGGCATCTTGGTTTCTGCATGGGGAAACTGGGAGGCTTCCTCTGGCCTCATCATGTGCATCAGCAGCAAACTGTGTGCCTGGGAAGGTGGCATGCAAGCATCCCCTTGGGTCCCCCTGATCAGCACAGTGGGTCGGGGCCAAGCTCTGCAGTGATATTGGCTGTTCTTTGTCTTTCAGAGGGATCTCATCGAATGAAGCAGCTGCTGAGTTTTGCTATTGGTGGGCTCCTTGGGAATGTGTTTCTGCACCTGCTCCCTGAGGCCTGGGCCTACACCTGCAGTGCTGCCTCAGGTAACATCGGGATGTGTGTAAATGCCCTGAGACCGCAGAGTGCTGGGCACTGGTTGCCCCGGCCTTTCCTATCCATCTGCTTCTGTGCATCAGCATAAGGGGGTAGTCAGAGGTCTGTAGCAGGATGGGGAGAATTAGTGAAAGCTGGCTTTAAAGTCTTTGGCTCATAAGCTGGAGGGGATGGTAAGGCATCCCTAGCCTGTCTATTGTGTCCCTGAAGGGAGGCAGCCTCAAGAACAACCAGGCTGGGGTGTCTTCAGCCACTTGGCCATGAGGTGGCCTAACCTTCTGTCAGGGATAAAATGAACACAGCAACTGTTGCCTCTCTGCATTTTGGCAGGCCTGTGTTGTCACGACAGAGAATTAGCGGCTGAACAAAGAAGGGAAGAGTTTCTCTCCTCGCAGAGGAAATTCTCAGGATGGCCCTTGGCCCGGTGTGGCTCGTTGCTTTGCCACAGACAGAGAGAGCTGCTGGAAAGTGTTCTGTGTCCTGAAAATGTCCTCTGGGCTGACTCTTTGAGAATGCATCTCCATTGGTCTTGGAAGCATTTTATCTAGACTTTGGCTTCCTGGTTCACTTCACTTCACTTCACCCGTGCCTGTCCCTCCCGCTTGCTGGCAGTCAGTCTGGGTGGTGAGTGGGAAGCTGTCAGTAACTCTCATGAGAGAGAACACTTCGTGTCCTTAGGCTAAGAATGTGCCAGGGTGTGACTGAATGAGCTTTCCACCACCCAGTTGTCATGTCTGTGCATGCAGTTTAGACATGCTCAGCCTCCCAGTTTGCAACCGCACACACACCGGGCTGTTTGCAAAGCTGCATGCATTTCGGTACCCAAGAAATCCAAATTTTGTGCTCACTTTTAAGTTCAATGGATTCTTCCTCTCACATTTTGTTTAAACTGTCATGACAAGCAGTGAGAAAGACCAGCAGGAAGGGAAGAGGCCCTTGAACTCCTTGCAGTGGTTTTTCTGCTCAACATCCACCCCACCCACCAGCTGCTGCTTTGCCCACTGGGGAAGAGGTACAAGAACTAGGCTGGCAGAGGCCAGTTTGTTTCCTGCATTTATAGTCTGGTTTATAGGCCACTTGAGTGAGGAAGTCTAGGAAGAGAAGGAGGGGGAGGGGGATCAGGAGGACTGAACTTGCAGGTGTGGGAGAAGGTGAGCTACACATGCACAGAAGTCCCTCCCTGTGAGCAGAGACCCTTCTCTGCTTTCTCAGCCATTGTCTCAGGTTCCTCTTTTATTCCCAAGTCTTTAATTGCATCAACCAGAGCATTGTTTAAAAGCTGAGATTTTCAGCAGATAGAATGTCATGCCAGATGTTAGATGCCAGGTTTATGTGTTAGAATCTATTTACTACTTATGATCTCCAGTTATCGGACTCAGGGATAGGGGTTCACTTGTATAAAAAGTGGTTTGTCTTGCATTTTCTTTTTTGCTGTTGTTCAATTCCTACCAGAGTCTTAGGCCACTTGATGAAGTATCTGTTGCCTCTGTGAACTAATCTTATGTCACACTGGCAGCATAATCCTCTGCTTATTTACTCCAGTCTAAGCCAAGAGTGACTCTGTGATTTGATCTGCCTCTAAGACAAAGGTGGGTCAACTTCAGCTTTGCATGGTGTCTTTTTTTCTTTTTTGCAAGATATTCTGAGATCCACTTGGTTTATTTTACACGTGCAAAGCAAGAGTGCATATTCAGGATTTCTTAACAGTTAAGGGCCAATGTTCCCTCTAAGCTGTGGAGTCTTGTGAGCAAAAAGTCTACTTTGTGAGCTACTGGCATTAAAGTTGTGAGCAAGCAACTTGGCTGCTGAATAAATTAGTTTGCTCTGGAGCCATCCTTCCTGAGCTAAGACAGAAATGTGTGAGCCAGAGGCTAAAAACCTGTGAGCTAGCTCACACTAACTCAGCTTAGAGGGAACACTGGAACTTAAGGCTCAACCTCGTCTGTTAGGAGGCTCTCTTATACAGTCTTGCTTAAGTACACTGCTGGGTCAGGCCAAGTTCTGCCTACAGCAATCAAGCAAGGAGAAAGTTGCCAGCAATATAATCAACCAGACATACAAAAACCACCTTAAAGAATGTAAACAAAATCCATTTTTAACAAAAATATTTATAGTGATATAATATAAACTATCATGCAAACTACAAGTGTGCATTATTACCCTAAAAGACATACAAATACAAGCGGGATGTAAACCCTGCTGAAATATAATCCTAAAGGGACCGAGCCAATCAATAATCATCTTAGGCTGTAAGAACAAAAAGAAACATTCCCTGCAACAGCCGAAGACAAGTCCCTTGAAGCATGAAGACGTCAAAGTTTGTAATATACGGCAGCCGGTTTCAAATCAATATCTTCATCAAGCTGTTAGTCTTCATAAGGCTTGTGGGACTTCCACTAGTTTCCACGAATTCACAAGCACATGGCGGCAAGCGTCCCTAGTGACAAGATTGAGATAGCTGCATATCCAGGCTTATCAGAATTCATTGTCCTTTTGCCCTAAGGATCCACTTGTTTTTGGAATATGGCCTAGTGGCTTTCATAAATAAGGCAGGAATTCCTTACTCTCCTTACTCTCTCACTCCCCTGCACCCCCTGCCCTTTCAGGAGGAGGACAGAGTTTCCAACAGCAGAAGCTTCTGGGTCTCTGGGTCATTATTGGTTTGCTGACCTTCCTGAGTTTGCAGAAGATGTTCCCAGACCACGAAAAGCAAGAATGCTCCAGCTTGGTGAGTGGATTATGAAAATGTCCCAGAAGCCCACTTAGGTTGTGGTTGCTGCCCTTGATCTTGCAAAATAGCTCCAGCCATTTGATTTTGCAGAAGCTGGATGAAGCCTTATCTCTTGTCCTTCCCAGCAGGTGACTCTGCTTAGGGAATCTTGAGGCCTGACATCTGGTCAGTGTTTAGCTTTAGGGACTGCAGCTGCCAGCCAGGAAGAGGAAGGGAAGGGCTCCATGATCCTCTGTGTGGATCCCCTTCCACGCATGTTGATTTGGCGAGCTGTGCATGCAGGAGGGCATAGGCTGCTCATGGCGAGGAATCCTACACTGAGTCTGTCTTCCCTCCCCTCCCTCCTGCATCTGGAATAAATAATGCACATACTCAAAACAGGGGGAAATTTGAGGTTCATTTAAAGCTTTCTAGTGGAGCTGCGGTGGCTCAAGTGGTTAAGACACTGAACCGCAGGCTGTGGAAGGTCGGTAGTTCAGCAGTTCAAGACCCGAGTTGCCGCATGACGGAGTGAGCTCCCGTCTCTAGTTCCAGCTCCTGCCAACCTAGCAGTTCGAAAGCAAGAAATTGCAAGGAGATAAATAGGTACCACTTCGGTGGGAAGGTAACAGCGTTCCGTACGCCTTGGTGTTTAGTCATGCCGGCCACATGACCACGGAAACATCTTCGGACAGTGCTGGCTCTTCGGCTTTGAAACTGAGATGAGCACCGCAACCCTAGAGTCGGATTCGACTGGCTTTCGAGCAAGGGAACCTTTACCTTTACTTTTAAAGCTTTCTGGTAATCTCTGTCCGTCACAAAAGTTATTAAATATGGGGTATGTGTAGTTCCTTTCATGGCAGAGCAATACGAAAGGGGATTCTGGAAGTGTCTGAGCCACTGTTTGATGGACATGGGGAAAAATCAGCTGCTTCTCTGCAACTTAGGTCAGTGATTCCAAGGCACCTGCCAAAAGGGTTCCAAATGGAAGTAGCTTCTCCATTCAGGATGGGGCCAATCCAGTCCACAGAACAAAGATGGGCAAGGCTCAGTGTAATGGTTCTTCTCACCCATCTTCGCTACCAGCCAAGAAGATCAAGGTAAATCTTGTGTGCTTTGGGGGGGTGAGGTGTCAGGTCCATAGTCCAACTTGATGTGTGTCTCCAGAGCAAGAGCTGAAAATCCAGGAAATCCAAGGCCTTCTTGAAAATATGGGAGCGGATGGTGGGTGGGCAGGCAATCAGGTGCTTTACTCTTGAACTCACATTAATGTACAAATCTGCCTTATACTCAGTTGGACTGTAACGTTGTCTTACTCAGAACCGGCCACTCCGACTCGTAGCAGTTCTCCAGAGTCCAAAGCCGATGTCTTTCCCAGCACTGTGGTCTGAGATCCTTTCAATGGAGCTTGAATCTGAGGCCTTGTGCATGCAAATCTTGTGCCTTTCCTCTGGGTTATGGCCCCAAGCCCCATCGTCTAGGCCTTTCTCCCAGCCTTTGCCCTCTCTCTCACCTTGATCCTTTATGTTAGACAGCTTGTGCTTTGGTTCTGGTCATTTTAAAGAAGGGGTTCCAATCATGCTTTACTAATCTTAGGTCAGCACAAAAACAATATCCACTTACCAAACAATATTTTCACACTCTTCAAAACACAGCTATCATTTTACAACTGAACCTACAAAGCTGTCTTATACTCACACCAGTAGTCTGTCAAGATCTGTACTGTCTACTCTGGCTGGCAGCAGCTCTCCAGGGTCTCAAGCAGAGGGCTTTCACGTCACCTACTAACTGGTCCTTTTAACTAGAGATGATAGGAATTGAACCTGTGACCTTCTGCATGTCAAGCAGATGCTCTACTATAGTGAACCATGGCCCCTCTCCTGGGAAAGCTGAGGCTGGACCACTCCCACCTGTGCTAAGGGGCAATATGTTTTTATTGGGAAAACAATGAACATTGGCATGTATCAACACACATCTTTAAGCTGAAGCCTGTATGTTTGAAGAAGAAGAGTAAACAGCATCTACTGACTCCTTAGCATTTTGTATCCATTTTTAATGGACTGTCATTTAATTTAATTTAAAAGATGCATGTTTGTCATGATAAATGTATAATTGATTGTACTTGTAAGTCCAGAATAAATCATATTGGAATTAAATTAGCATTCTTAGTGTCTGTAGACTATTTTGAGGTCTCCTATGAATTTCCAATTGTCTTTGGCTTGTTTTCGATTTCCGGTTATCTTTACTTTCTCCCTGCTGTAGATCAGTGGATACCTCAATCTGTTGGCCAACACAATCGATAACTTCACACATGGGCTTGCGGTGGCAGCAGGCTTCCTAGTTAGCAGAAAGGTAAGTTGAGGGGTTTGGCTTGAACACTGCCTGATGTCTGGATACCAGGAGTTTGGTCTGAAAGGGAAATGGGCAGTTCTGCTCTGTTGCTAAGCATAAGGCTTTTAAATAG